TTGCTTTGGAAACCCTATGGTTTGCAAATCCTACTTTGTCCTATAGGGTCACCACAAGTCGGAATTGACTTGATGGCAATGGGTTCGGTTTGGTTTGGCCTCTGCCCAATACCCTCCAACTGCTTCCCATTTCCCTCAAAGTAAAAGATCAAATCCTGCCAATGTCCTTTTATGAGCCTGTCCTCCATTCTCTCTGACCTCTTGTTACCCCACATCCACACTCTGCTCCTGCCACCACTCTGGCTTCCTTGCTTTTCCTCCAATATGCCAGTCATGCCCCCACCTTAGGCCTTGGCTCTAGCTGTTCCTTCTACCTGGAAGCCTCTTTCCACAGCTATCCACATGGCTAACTCCCTCCCTGTAAGTATGTGCTCAAAACTTACCTCTTCAACAAGGTCAACGCTGACTACAGTAATTAATATTGCAAACTAGCCCCTACTCCCACAGTCCAGATTGACACTGCTTTGCTGTTTCTTCTTTTCCCCATAGCACTTATTTTCTAACATAAAGATTAACTTATTGAGTATGTTTATTGTTTATCACCTGCCCACCATCTCCCACATAAAATAAGCTCAATGACAAGTAATCTTTTGTTTTATTCACTGTTGTATCCCTACAACAGTGCCTGGCACATAGAAAGTGGTTACCCTCATTGCTGTCAATTCCGACTAATAGTCCTCATGCACTACAGAGTAGAATTGCTTCATAGGATTTTCATGGGTGTAATCTCTACAGGACCAGGTCATCAAGTCTTTCTTCTGCAGTGCTGCTGGGTGAGTCTGAATTGCCAACTTTAAGTTTAGTAGTGAAGCTCTGGTGGCACAGTGGCTAAAGCATTTGACTGCTAACCAGAAGGTTGGCATTTCAAACCCATCAGCCACTCTGTGGAAGGAAGACAGGGTAATCTACTTCTGTAAAGGTTCACCACCTCAGAAGACCAATGGGAGTTGCTATGAGTCGGAACTGACTTGATGGCAGTGAGTTTGGTTTTGGTTTTTAGGTTAGTAGTTGAGCACAAATCATTTGCCCCACCCAGAAGATGCTTAGTAAATACTAACTGAATGGAAAAAATCAACACTTACTGAATCAATCTCTTGACAGCTGCTCTGGACTTCTGATTCTTCGACTATCAGCCAATCAAAATGTAGAATACAAAAGTTATGACAACTTCTTACAACAACGCAACACACTGCTGTTGAGTTGGATTCGATTCACAGCAACCCCTCCTTGGGTTTCCAGGGCGGTATCACTATGGAAGTAGATTTCCCAACCTTCCTTCCGAGGAGCAGCTGGTGAGTTTGAACCACCAGCCTTCTGGTTAGCAGTCAAATACCTTAGGCACTATGCCACCAGAGTTCCTAGTCATAGCCAAACACTTGAGGGAACGAGACATTGGGCACTGGGGCTAAAGACCACAGTCTTGGGGGAACACTAAGGTCTGTTGGCATGTTCCACATCCCACTTTGGTGAGTAGCAGCTGAGGTCTTAAAAGCTTGTGAACGCCCATCTAAGGTGCAACTATTGGTCACTCCTCATGCAAATAAGAGTGAAGAAAACAAAGATAAAAGGAAACAATTAGTCCAAAGTACTAATGGACCACATAGACCCAACCTCCATGATGCTGAGACCAGAATTAGGTGCTGCCCAACTACAACTGCCGACTGCTCTGAGGGATCAAAATAGGAGGTCCTGGATGGAATGGGAGAAAAAAAAACTGAAATCATAAAAAGGAAAAAAAGATCAGGCTTACTAGTGGAACCCCTGAAACTATAGCCCTTAGACACTTTTAAGCTTGGAACTGGATTCACCCGCTTAGCTCAACTTTGGGACAAATTATAGATAGACCTATACCAAAAAAAAAAAAAAAAATCAAAATCACTGCCGTGGAATCAGATCTGACTCATAGCAACTTCTCCTTGGGTTTCCAAGGCAGTATCACCACAGAAGTAGATTGCCCAATTTTCCTTCCAATAGGCCTGTAAAGTGAACAATAAAACCAGGAAGATATGCACCTTTTAGAGCAATCAACCATATGACATTAAAAGGGCAGCATTTGTCCAGGGATAAAGCTCAGAAGGCAGAAAGGGATAAGAAAGAAAGACAAAGGGAAATAGTATACAAAGGGAGGAAGTGGGAAGAGTGCTGTTACATTGTGGGGATCACAATGAAGATCACAAACCATGTATGAATTATTGAATGGAAAACCAATTTGCTCTGTAAACTTTGACCCAAGTGCTCTGGTGGCATTGTAGTGCCTAAGGCATCTGACTGCTAACCATCAGGCTGGCAGTTCAAACCCACCAGCCACTCCTGGAAAGGAAGGTTGGGCAATCTACTTTCATAGAGATACTGCCTCGGAAACTCAAGGAGGGGTCGCTATGAGTCGAATCAACTCCACGGCAGTGAGTTTGGTTTTGGTGGTTTTTTTCTGCCTTATTGTTTAACAGTGAAAATGAAGGTCACTGAAGGAACATTTTCCATAAACAAGGTATCTGTAAGCTTGCACATTTTTTTTTTTCAACTCAGTATCTAGAAAACCTCCAAAATACATAAAAGCATTTCAAACGGACTGATGGACAGTCACACATACAGCAAGACCACAGAGCAAATGTGAACACTGCCCTCTCATGGTTGAATGTGGAGGTGGCTGTTCCTGCATGGCCGGCCTGGTGAGGGAAGTCTTTGAACCTTGCTGGTTGTTTGGGGTTGCCTATGTCATTGAAGACAATTTAAAATGGATTAAATTCAATTCTATTTTCAGAAGGAGGAATAAAGTGTCAAGGGAGAATTTTTAGGGAGTACAGAGCCCACACAGTTCCATATTGTGAGAAGGTTGTTGACAATTAGTGGAAAGTAGTAAAGAAAAATGTTACGACAAGAAAATCCTGACTTGATAACAGCCATCTGCTACGCTTACAGCTGGAAGCTGAGTGGGAATGTCCCATCTGTGTTTTATTCACAGCTTCAATTTGATTATAAATAAGACACATAAGTGCACAATTTACATTGAATGTCTGAATGTCTTCTGGAACCAGGAATGTATGTATTTGTATCTTACATACATTTGTATGTGTATTTTTGATCTGTCCTTCATAACTGAGGCTTTAACTCTTGACTCCGCCCCTTTGTGCAAATAGAAATGACTGAACTCCAACCTGGCCCAGCTTTTCCTGGAGCCTCTTGGCTGTTGGCTGCTGGGAAACTCCGGGCCCCTGAGTCCTGGGGTGGCAGCATATGGGAAGCTTACAGACGCTCAGTCAGGAGGGCGCTGCACATGCAGCCATACACACGTTCTCACTTATTTCTCAAACTGATTCTATGGGGATCTATATGGGCTTTCACCCCCATTTTACGGATGAGGGAAAGTGAGGATGAGTGAGGTAAGGCATTTGCCCAAGGTAATATGGTCAGTTGGTAGTACAGCCAACCTTCAAAACTAAGTCTTTGTACCAAGGTTCAGAGACCATGTTCTTTCCACATTCCGCTTGGTCTCCACAGTCACCCTGCCAGGTTCTCTGGGGCTATAAATAGCCCGGGAGGCTGGGACTTCTAGTGTGAGGTCAGCCAGGCCTATAGCACAAGGAGACAACACCTCGAGTACTCGCCTCACCCAGGCGACCCCCTTGGCCTCAACAGAACTCAGGCCCAGACAGGCCTCCACTTCTCATTTGTTTCTCTTCCCTTGGTTATATTTAACTCTGAATCTCCAAGAGAAGGGTGTGAGCCAGCCACTTAGTCACCACACACCCTCCACTTGGTTAGGCTGCTGCACATCTACCTCAGCCTTTTCAGATGTCAGTGTGAGCCCCTCAATGGTGGCTGTCTGCACTCTTCTGGATGGTCTGTGGGGTCTTGTGCCTACAGCTCCTTGAGGGAGGGCCCACATCTGGTTTCCAATGTATTTGTAATGTTCAGCAGTGTGTATGTGATAGTTGGAGCTGTGTGTCAACTTGGCTGGACCCCAGTTCTGTGTGGTTGTTCCCATGATGGGATCAGATGACTGAGTTCTGAGTGGCCAGTCTGCCCAAGGGGAGTTTCCCTAGGGGTGTGGCCTGCTTGCAATGATATCCAAGGACAATCTGGAAGAACGGCATTCCTTAAGGAATTGGAACCCTGGTGTGCGAACTACAGACTTCCTTGAGTGAGCAGCCCACCGCTCGGCCTGGAGATCTCGGATTCATCTTTTGTTGGAATCAACAACCAATACACTGCATGCCAGCTTGAATCTCTCAGCTCCTCTGTGCTTGCGGAAGCCAAGGCGGCCGCAAGCCCCATCTCCTCCAGAGACGGACTTTTCGGCTTGGACTTGTCGGCTTCTATACGCTTGTGAGCCATTTATCTAAGATAAATCTCTCTCTCTCTCTCTCTCTAAATATATATATATATATATATACTTTGCTGGTTTTTTGTGTTTCTCTAGAGAACCCAATCTAACACAGTGTATAACACACTGCACATGGCAGTCACTCAATAATTCTTTGTTGAACGAATAAATAAATAATCCAAGCTATGCCCTTTACCCAGACATCAAAACAAGGGGCACACAGATTCCCAGATGGACACCTTCTAAAACCAAATGCATTTCACTCTATTAAATATGATCAATTTTATTCAAGGAATGGACTTGAGTGTTTGTCATCCTTCCCACTCTTCTCTCATCCTCCACCAGACATGGCATTGAGGACCACGTGGGAAGGGGAGAAGGGGAGGACATCCAGTCTCCAAGGCTGGACTCTTAAGTGCTACATGCAGCAGCCACACAGAGTGCGTGAGGCTCAGGCACTTGGAGCCCTGTTCATCTCAATGGCAGGTCTCTCCCTGTCTTCTCCTGCATGCTGGCCTCCTGCAGGAACCTGGTGCCTATGCTTCCATCTGAACTGCTCAGCCACTGCAGCCAACGGGGGACCATGGCTCTGTGTGGCAGCCTAGGCTAGAGCTCAGGAATGTGGACGGATCCTGAAATAGGCGCTCAAAAGGCTAAACCTGCAGGCTCTCAGATCTTACAAGAACGGAAAAAGCCGCTTCTTCACAATGTAGAGGACAGTAGCAAGAAAGAGAGCCAAAGCAAGGAAAATGAGGAGTTTGTCCGTCAGCTCCCGGCGGTTGTATTTTGTGATGAGTTTCCTCCCCAGCTGGATGGTCCCCGACATGGACTTAAACTCTTCATTTGCATCCAGAATAGTCCGTGAAGAATTGACTGAAACGAAAGAGGGAGGGAGCCTGACTCAGAGACTGTGCAGTGCAAAATCCAAAGGCCTTGCTGTACAGACTGGGTGGCTGATACAGAATCCTACATTTGAAGCCAGAATAAAAAGATGTATGTGCATGAGACAATTCAGATGAGCAAAGAGAACAAGGGTGTAACAAGGAGAGACACTGCCCTATGTCCCAGCCAGCTAACACAATGATGTGGATTGTTTACATACAATGTCACAAGGTCATAACTAGGAGTCCTCCAACACGGACCAAAACCAGTCAGACTCACTGCCATCGAGTCGATTTTGACTCACAGCAACCCCCACTGGGTTTCTGAGGCTGTAAATCTTTATGGAAGTAGATCACCCTATCTTCCTTCCATGGAGCAGCTGGTGGGTTTGAACCGCCGACCTTCTGGTTAGCAGCCAAACACCTTATCCACTCCACCAGCAGAGCTCCTTCCAACATGGACATCACTAGGGAAACAGGCAAAAGGGTTCCTCTCCACCCCACCAGCCTGAGCTTTCTGAAGCACAGAAGTGCTGCTGAGGAGAAGCATCACCAGTCACAAAAACTACCCCAAGTGATCAGAAGGATATAAAAGGAACTGGTAATAGAGGTGCTTCTGGGGAGTGGAAATGGCAGACTGGCAGTCAGGGAGTCAAAGGGAGACTCATCTTTCCTGGGTTCCCTTTCGCACTGTCTGGAGCTATGCTGACCAACACCATAGCTACACCTCAGCATAAATGTGACTAATCCAAACTGAGCTGTATGCAAGTATAAAATACACACAGGGTTTGAAGGAAAAAGAATAAGATAGCTAGTAATTTCAAATATTAACTACATAGTGATGTTTTGTATATATTCATTTAAATATTCTAATTTCATTTGTTTCTTTTTACTTTTTAAAGTGCTTTCTAAAAACTTTTAAACTACATACATGGTTCACATTATATTTCCCTTGGACAGTACTGCTGTAGAGTTTTTATTTTCCCTAAATTTCATGCAAATACCACGTTATGCAGTTTTTGCAAACCACACAGCCCCCTCACACATTAGCTTTCTATGCGCCCTGTGTACATTATACATGTGTGCATGTAATGTGTGAAAAAATGCAGTACATTATCTTTTCCACAAAATTGAGAATCAATATGCAAATAAAAGGAATCACCAGAGGAACAGAGCAGCATTTTGAAAAAGGCTGATAAGGGAGGAAAACAAACATGACAGAAATTCCCCTCAGCCTTCCTTTTCCAAGCCTGTGCTGCCCTTTCAGAAACAGTTATTAACTGCAAAGCTAGTAAGGTTTCCTTTTTAAAACCTTTTTTATTATAAAGAATTTTAAGTCATTACAAAAGTAGACAGAATGGTATCAAGAAATGCTACATACCCATCACCCACACCTAAGAACCACCAATCTCCTGGCCATCTTGGCCCATCCTTACTCCCGTCCAGCCACCTCTGCCCCCATCCCTATCACTCTGAAGCAAGTTCCAGACACTGTATCCTTGATGGGCTTTAATCAAGTTGAATTTGTGAACCATAAGGAAAAGATTAAGAACTGTGTTCTTCTCGTTCTTCAATAGCTAGCTCTTCTGTAAGATGTGCCCCAAGAACCATCTCAGACAGGGGAGCCCCTTATACCCCAAAATCCACAGAATTTGTGTTTCTGTTGTATTGCTTAAATAAGTTCTCTGTTCCTGATATATGTCTGTGGGGAGGGGAGAGGACCGAGTGTCCTGTCACCCACACCAGAACACAAAAGCCCTTGACTCAAGGGCCGAGCGGTCTCCTCCCTTTCTCCACAGCCTCTCCTGAGACTCCGGCGTGCCCACAGCACACAGAGAGGAAGCACCGGGCTGGCTCTGAGCTAAATTCTCAGGCCCTGACCTTGGGGTAAGCTGCTTGTTTTTCTCCTGCTTTTGCCTGTTCATGATGCAAGGGAAAAAACACAGTGGTCCAAAAGGATCGTTTTTGGGTGATAATGGTGCTGTGGTTCTGTTTGCTTGTTGTTTTTAAAGAGTTCCTTATCTTATAGAAACATACTGAGATATTTATTGCTGATGTCTGGGATTCGCTTCAAATTAATCCAGATGGAGGATGGAGTGAGGGTGGAGTTGAAACAAGATGGGCTGTGAGTTATTCACTGCTAAAGCTGTATGGTGCATTTGGGGTTCATGATACCATCTCTCTACCTTAGTATAAGTGTGAAAATTCCCAGAAGTGTTTGAAGGAATAAATTCTGTTTGCTTTCCTAATACTGAAGGACCCTGGAGAAAGTGGCTATTCTTCTACATTACAAGGGAGACACTATGAGAAAGCTGGTGGAGAGAAAAAGATGGTCTCAAGCAGCCTCTTCTGTAGCCTCTTTGTATCTTTTAAAAGAAACTCATGATAAAAATGACACTTGAGAGTATAATTCTAAGGTGAGGTTCTAGCAGTTTTGCCAGTGGCTGATACGCTCCAATCATTCTGGAGCAATGATTTCCAAACCTGCCTGACACAAGTGTCCCCAGATTCCTCACTAAAAACCAGCTCCCAGGCCTCTCCCTGGACACCAGCTTGACAGAAGAGTGCCTGTAAATCTCTGCTTTTTACAGCAACCCCTGGCAAGGCTTCTGCTGGGGAAACCTTGATGGGACAGGATGGTGGAAGGGGAGGTTTCTAATACAACTATAATAATCAAAAGGAGAAAAAGCAGCAAATTCTCACTCTGGGTAAAATTAGCTATCAAGTCATCTCATGAGTGAGAAGCCACACAAGTTGGTGAGCTTCAGGGAGCAGCCTGCAGTGGTGATGCCGTTCCAAGGGCTTTGGAGGCACTGCTGTGGGAGAAGGTCCTGATCCAGGCCCAGCCTTACCGAGAGTGTGCATGGCTTCTTCACTCTGCTGGACCTGCTGTGACATCATCCTGCTGATCCCCATTAGGCTCTCTGTGATGGTGCTGGATGTCTGGGCCAGGCTCTCTTTGGTGGTTTTCCTGTAAGTCCAGAGCAAAGGGAGAAGGCATGTCAACAAAAGCCAGGCTGTAAGAAAAACCCACATTCAAACGAGATGTCACTTTTTACCTATCAAATTAGTATAGATTTTTTTGTTTTTATAGTCAAGGAGCTCTGGTGGTGTAGGAGAAGGCATGTCAACAAAAGCCAGGCTGTAAGAAAAACCCACATTCAAACGAGATGTCACTTTTTACCTATCAAATTAGTATAGATTTTTTTGTTTTTATAGTCAAGGAGCTCTGGTGGTGTAGTGCCTAAGACATTTGACTGCCACTAGGTTGGTGGTTCAAACCCACCAGCCACTCTGAGGAAGGAAGACTGGGCAATCTACTTCTATAAAGTTTACCACCTCAGAAACCCAAAGGGGGTCGCTATGAGTCAGAATTGACTCGATGGCACTTTGGTTTGGTTTGGTTTTGGTTTATAGTCAATGCTATAGACTTTCAGGAACGTAAGCTGGAAGGTAACTAGAAAGCCACTGGACCATACATATTTGCAGCCTGTGATGTAGTAAATTACATGATACAGCTTTTCTAGCCATAGTATTTGTAACTGCCACTTTGCTGTAAGTAACTGAGTACCTGCTTGTTAAAGTCATCCACCTGGAGCAATACAAAGCAATCTTCTGGGAAGTTTGCTCTCTCTCAGGTGCACAGAATTCTATGTTGAGATTGGGTGGTTTGGGCCACTCTGCCAGGCTCAAAAGGAGCACTTCTAGAGGTAGAGAGTGTCTCTCTGACTGCCGGCTGAGAAAGATGTGCTGCTGAGAGAAACGTGCTGCTGAGAAATGTGAGAGACATGTAGCTGAGAGAGACACGAGAGACACACACTGCTGAGGGAGAGATGTGCTACTGAGAAAGACTGTCAGCTAAGAGATGGCCTGCTAAGAGATGGCCGGCTGAGAGAGACTAAGCACGTTCCTGAACTTAAGTTGTAGCCTATTGCTTCCCTAATAAACCCCATGATCTGTGAGTTCTGTGTGGTCACTGCAGCAAATTATCGAACTCAGCAGAGAGGTTGTGGATGCCATGGGAGGAAGGGTTGGTGACAAGGTTAGTAAGAGGGCTGGAGGGTGGTGGCATGTCTGGCTTCATAGGAGCAAGCATTGGGCTGCTGATGGTGATTCTGCCCTCCTCTTGTGCAGTTAAAAGAAGTCAGAAAATGTGGCCTCCCTGTCTCTTTCGCACAGCCCTAAAAATGTTCATGTCTTGGACCCGGTAATCCTCTCCCTGGAAATCTTTTCAAACAAAATACCTAAAATGTGGACAAAGCCTTATATTCCAAGATATGCCCTATCATATAGTTTATAATACTGAAAAACTAGAAGTGTAAACACACCATTGGTTAATACAATGGAATACTACGTGCTGTTAAAATTATGTTTAAAGAGTTTTTAAAACAATGTGCAAATCTTTGTGCCTAAGTGAAAAAGAACAGAATACTAAATTGCATGTATGGTATGATTTGACTTTGTAAAAAAACACATAAGAAATAATAATGGTGCACACTCATGTTCATCACAGCACTATTCACAGGAGTAAAAAGATGGAAACAATCTCAATGCCCATCAAAGGATGAACAGATAAACAAAATATGATAACATACACAATGGAATACTACAGAACGTTAAAGATCAATCTGCAAAACATCTCATAATATGGATGAACTGAGAAGACATTATGCTGAAATTAGTCAATCAGAGAAGGGATAAATAAGAGACCACTATCGTAAAAAGTCAAGAAAAGGTTTTCATACAAAAAGAAATATTCTTTGATGGTTACCAGGGGTGGGAGGGGAAGGAAGAGTAAATCACTTAAAAAAATAATAATTATTATGGGTGAAGACAATATACCAAAATGTTTATGAGTAATAGGATTATGGCTTATTTTCATTTTGTACATGTATTCTTTTCTTTCATACTTTTAAAATAATCTTACTTATATAATAAAATTAGGAGCTCTGGCGGTGGTGTGCCTAAGACATTTGACTGCTAACCAGCAGGCTGGCAGTTCAAACCCACCAGCCACTCCTCAGAAGGCGGACTGGGCAATCTACTTCCGTAGAGATACCACCTCAGAAACCCAAGGAGGGGTCGCTCTGAGCCAGAATCAAAGGCAGTGAGTTTGGTTTTTATATAATAAAATTAAATATCCACCTTATGGTAAAAACAAGAGGGGTTTTCCTACAATGGGTTTTAACCTTGCCAATTGCTATCTATCCCACTATCAGAGCCCAGAAAGACAAAAGGAGAGATACCTTTGCCTTAAGTGATCTCCTCCCTGGAGAAGTTCCGCTTTTTCTAGATTGTCGATGGCAATCTTGCAAGTAAGATTTGCTTTCCTCCATGAGGTCTGATTGCTGGAACCAGAGGATTATGTGTGAGTTTCTGCCAGCTCCACCAGGCTGTCAAATCACCAGTTCAAATCACCATGGTGCTTCTGTCTACCAAGTCTAGCCCACAGAGTCCATCCCTACATGCTACCACTTCCTCCTCTTGGTGGCCAATGACTACTCTAGCTCAGGCCTCAAGACTTCTTGTTGGGACCAGTGTTTTCAAACTGAGTACCCTCAGTGACAAGGGAGCAGAAGTCACACAACATAAAGTTATCACTTATGCACCACTTACTTACCACACTAGTCGCTACTCACATCCACACCCCCTCCCACACCCCTGCCTATACTAGCCTCTACAATGGCCACCCTTTTGTCAGCCTCCTCCTGACTGTCAGGTGTTACAAACACAGCTGTGTCTGTGAGAATAATGCTAGAGGATTACTCAAACCAGAAGCAAAGCCACAAAGATCTGGCAGAGGGAGACCAATTAACAAAGCCTAAGAGAAAACCTCCAAGGATAATGACGACACAGAAGGGTTTCAGGAGAGAATGATCTGGATGCCAGCATTCTGGAAAAGTTAATGGAGCCACAGATATTTTTGCAACAACAACCCTTTTCATGATTGTGATGCAAAAGTCAAATGTAAAGAGAAAAGTACTATTTCATGCAGACAGACAATTTTGTTGGAAAAGTGACATTCCCTCCACCCCAAAATCACTAACAGGAGTTAGCATATAGCTGCAATCTCAGAACCAAGGACTGCATACAGCTGCAGGTATAACAAATTTTGTTTACCCTAACAGCAAGCTAATTTAAACCTTTTTGTTTCATTTTTTTTAAGGTGAAGTCCCATTTAAAGCTTTCTGAAATTTTGACCCATCTTAAGTAGGTTCACTGTAGTGGATTTTATCTGGGACCAATTATCCTTAGATAAAAAGGGTGTTCACCATGACTTGGAACTGACTTGACAGCAACAGGTTTGATTTTATGGTTTTGGTATTACCAAAGCAGGGGCCAATTTGATGACAGCTAACAACAAAAAGTACAAGAGCAATCATTTTTTTGTTTGCTCTAATGATATAAATCAACAGTATGTTATAAACCACACACACCTGCATGTACATTCTCTGCCTGTCCCTGTTTGCAAACCGTTCTAGAGAAAATATTCCGCCTGTGTGTCTAACGACACAATTAAGTCATCACCTACAGAACTTATACACTTGCCTCACAGGAACCAGTGGCCAAGGCCGCTGGCAGGGAGCCCAGAACCACCTACCTGAGCATCTGCTTCTTGTGATTCTCCACTTCCTGGAGGAGAGCTTGCTTCTCTGACTCCTTGTCTTGCTCTTTAGCTGACTGCTCAAGCTCCTTTGGGGAAAAATAGCTCTGTATTAAAATGATTTTAAAACCTAAGATGTGTTAGGCTGGGTTCTCTAGAGAAGCAAAACCAGTAAAGCTTAGAGAGAGATAGAGAGAGAGAGAGAGAGAGAGAATTTTATCTTAGGGAAATGGCTCACACAGTTAGAAAAGCTGGCAAGTCCCAAGTTCCTGGACCAAATGTCAAGCTGGAAGTTTTTCCCAACTCACGCAGCTGCAGGGGCTGACGAGCTCAAGACTGGAAGGCAGTATAACAGGCTGCTGACTTGGGCAGTTGACGAATCCCAGATCAACAGGGAGAATGGTGGACTGTTGGCTCACGGGACAGCTGAAGGCAGCACGACAGGATTCCGATCCACAGAAGGTTCCCACATTTTCCCAGGACATCCATATATATATAGGAAGCAGGCCACACCCCTAAGGAAACTCCCTTTCAACTGACTGGCTGCTCAAAGCACATATATCTGATCTCATCATGTGAATAACCATATCACAACAGCTTAAACCACTCAGAATTGTGGTCCAACCAAATTGACACACAACCCCAACTATTACACAATATAAAGCCAGAAGAGCTCTCATGTTTCTGGCAAAGTCATACAACAGCCCTTGAAAACACTCTTAAACCAGAACACTTAGGAATGCTAGGTAACATATAACAAATATCCTTTAAATATATAGCTGAGTTTGCAAATTTGAAAACCACACACATGAAGACACTCAACACAGCTTATTAGGTCCTTCCTAGATGCACTGGTGATACTCAGGGAGTGGGAGGAAAGATTAATAAATGTGTAAATGACTGGAGAGGTCACTTAATTATTGAGGAAATAAGCACTAGGTAAGCTTGCAGATATAAACAGTGGAGAGTTGAAGTCATGCTAAGTTGAAGAAAGGTCTTTTAGGCAACTTAATAAATTGGATTTAAAAGGAAAAAAAGTAGAAGCAGGCCAAATAAATGCTCTTCAATAGAGAAATAGTTAAACAAATTAGGATACATCTACATAATGGAATACTATGCAACCATATATATATATATAAAATAAAAAGAGGGTGCATTCTAGTACTGATATGGAAAGATTTCCAATATATGTTTAAAAAAGCAATGTTTCAGTATGCAATTATATAAGAAAGGGAGAAGAAACAGAGATACTCTAGATAGATATGTAAGAAACAACTAAAAGTAGTTACCCATTTGGGAGAGTGGAACAGAGCAAATAAGAGGAAAGAAAATGCACATACACATATATAAACCATGTGAAAGTGAAACCCCTCAAAAACAAAAAACTATACTGATTAAGTCAGTGCTGAAGATGGAGGCAGAAAGAGATCAGCTTGCTATCGGGGCATTGTTGAAATTCTAAAGTTAACACCTACAGCAAAAAGTACATATATTCAAAATTGCCTTTGAAAATTCCTGTTTCTTAGGGGTCCAACTGGCCAGCTATTCTGCCACCTTTGGAACCGATCATTCTGCTGGCCTGGCATTTGGGACCATGTTATAGGAAAAACACAAGTGTTTGAAACCCAGTACCACAGGCAGTGAAACCAGGTGCCACCCAAGACACAACGAGGGAAGGGCCAATCCACAGCACCCACCTCCGCTTCAAGGAGGGCCCAGCAGTGGAAACACCTACACTCTTCACACTGCTCCTTTCTTGCTCTCTAGTGTCTTTTGATGCAGCACGGAAAGCACAGCTGAATTCAGGAGTGTTAAATGTGTGTATGATGTGACTGGCGACTACAGAAACAGACAGAAAGACGCTGGGCACAATGATGGCATGAAATTGGTGATACATTGATGGAGAGCAAGTCAATGGGCTGGAGAGTGTGGTTAATTGTCAGTTATTGAGTTAGGTGTCATCTAGTCAACTCCGAGTCATAGCAAACCCACGTACAACAGAACAAAACACTGCCCAGTCCTGCACCATCCTCACACTTGTTGCTATGTTTGAGCTCTTTGTTGCAGCTGCTATATCAATCCATCTTGTTGAAGGTGTTCCTCTTTTTCACTGACCTTCTGCTTTACTGGTCCCTCCTGATAACATGTCCAAAGGAAGTTGAGATGAAGTCTCACCATCCTCACTTTTAAGGAGTATTCTGGCTGTACTTCTTCCAAGACAGATGAGTTTGCTCTTCTGGCGGTCCATGGTATGTCAATATTTTTCACAAGCACCATCATTTAAATCCGTCAATTCATCTTTGTTCTTCCTTATTCATTGCCTAGCTTTTGCATGCATATAAGGCAGAGAGAGTGGTAGAAAAGAGCAAGTGATTGACATGATCCCAGGATTTTCAAGTTGAAAAATTCCAAGGACAGTGGTGCCCTACATCCACCTGCTGACACAGCTGCCAGTGCTATGTAGTCAGAAGTTCATCATCTTTACCTAGAAAGCAGGTTAGTATGGAGTCACCAACATTGTCTAAAGGCTTACTACTCTAGCTCCTATTGAGGAACCTGGACTGCTCTCAAGCATCCACTGATGCAGAGGTTAGTCCCAGGACTGAGCTCCCATCACCATTACCAAGCATCTTGGTTCTGCAGCTACCTACCTGTATTCTGTGCCGTAACTGCTGGAACTTCTCTTTCACTTTAGTGTTCAGTTCAGTAAGTGCGCTTAATGGTCCTGAGCAATCACGAATATCCTAGGAGACATTGAAGAGAAGAAGCAGCTATGAAAGGAAATGAAACCATCTGTACAGAGAGAGTGGCCTAGACCACACCTAAGGTAGGCTTACTGACAGGCATTCATCCCAATCTTGTTTACCTCTGCAACACAAGCAAAAGCATTACCATTTACACTTTTCTCACCCAACTTTAATTTTGAGCAGATAATTAAAAAGCACACTAAGAAACACAACTCAGTCCTTAAAGTTTAACAATGGAGCTCCTGGCACAGTGGTTAAAGTGTTCGGCTGCTAACCAAAAGGTCAGTGGTTTGAACCCACCAACCACTCTGCAGGAGAAAGATGTGGCAGTCAACTTCCAAACAAATTATAGCCTTGCAAGCCTATGGGACGGTTCTACTTTGTCCTACAGGATCACTGAGTTGGAATTGACTGATGGCAATGGGTTTGTTTGGTTTTTTTTAATTTTAATTTTTTAAAAAGTTTAATAGGACTCCCTGGGTAGTGCCAACGGTACAAACTTCTGAAAAGCCTGCCATTGAAAACCCTATGGAGCACAATCCTGCTCTGACATACATGAGGTCACCATGAGTCATAGTCGACCATATAGCAACTGGTTAGTTACAGTTTAACAAAATATCACCTGACCAGTGTGAAAGTTTAAAGGAACTTGTGTATCCAACAAGAATGAACATCCCAAGGTAATAATTAATGTTAGATCTTTCCAACTAAAAAATCCTGATGCTTAAATTTCTATCACCACATAAGATTAACTTTTTCAAACCATCTATTCTAAATCACAGTCCTTACAGACGTATTTCCACCACTCATCTGTCAGACTGTTGTACTGTGGTGGCTTGTATGTGGCTATAATGCTGGAAGCTGTATTACCAGTATTTCAGATACCTGCAGGGTCACCCGTGGTGGGCAGGTTTCAGCGGCGCTTCCAGACTAACAAGAAGGACCTGCTGATCTACTTTAAAAAAAAAAAAAAAATAGCCAGTGAAAACCTTATGGATAGCAGCATAACACTGTCTGATGGAGTACCAGAAGATGAGCCCCTCTGGTTGGAAAGCACTCAAAATATGATTGGGGAAGAGCTGCCTCCTCAAAGTAGAGTGGACTTTAATGCTGTGGATGGAGTAAAGCTTTCGGAACTTTCATTTGCTGATGTGGCATGACTCATTGAGAATAAACAGCTGCAAACATCCTTAATAATCGGAACAAGGAATGTACAAAGAATAACCCAAGGAAAATTGTTGTTGTTGTTGTTGTTAGGTGCCGTCAAGTTGGCTCTGACTCATAGTGACCCTACGTACAACAGAATGAAACACTGCCCAGTCCTGTGCCAGCCTCACAATCCTTGCTGTATCTGAGCCCATCGTTGCAGCCACTATGTCAATCCATCTTGTTGAGGACCTTCCCCTCTTTCGTAAACTCTCCACTTTACCAAGTATGATATCCTTCTCCAGGGAATGGTCTCTTCTGACAACATGACCAAAGTAGATGAGATGAAGTCTGGCCATTCTCGCTTATAAGAAGCATTCTGGCTGCACTTCCTCCAGGATAGATTTGTTAGTTCTTCTGGCAGTCCATGGTACTTTCAGTATTCCTTGTGAACATCACAACTCAAAAGCATCAACTCTTCTTCAGTCTTCCTTGTTCATTGTCCAGTTCTCACATGCTTAAGAGGTGACAGAAAATACCACGGCTTGGGTTAGGTGCACCTTAGTCTTCAAGGAGACATCTTTGCTCTTCAGCACTTTTAAAGAGGTGTTTTGTAGCAGATCTGCCCAGTGCTTTATGTAGTCTAATGTCTTGACTGCTGATTCCATTGCAGTTGATTGTGGAACCAAGTAATATGAAATCTTTAACAGTTAATTTCAATCTTTTCTCCATTTATTGTGATTTTGCTTATTGGTCCAGTTGTGAGGATTTTTGTTTTCTTTATGTTGAGATATAATCCATACTGCAGACTGAAGTCTTTAATATTCATCAGTAAGTGCTTCAAGTCATCCTCACTTTCATCAAGCAAAGTTGTGTTGTCTGCATATCTCAGGTTGTTAATGAGCCTTCCTCCAATCCTGATGCCGCCTCTTCTTCATACAGTCCATCTTCTCAGATTATCTGCTCAGCATACAGATTGAATAAGTATGGTGAAAGGATAAAACCCTGATGCATTCCTTTCCTGATTTTAAACCATGCAGTATTCCCTTGTTCTGTTCAAACAGCCTCCTAGTCTATGTACAGGTTCCTCATGAGCACAATCAAGTGTTCTGGAATTCCCATTCTTCTCAATGTTATCCATAATTTGGTATGATCCACACAGTCTAATCCTTTGCATAGTCAATAAAACTCAAGTAAACATCTTTCTGGTATTCTTTGCTTTCAGCCAAGATCCGTCTGACATCAGCAATGATATCCCTTGTGTACCACATCTTCTTCTGAATCTAGCTTGCAGTTCTGGAAGTTCTCTGTCAATATACTGCTGCAACCATTTTTAAATTATCCTCAGCAAGATTTTACTTGCATGTGATATTAATGATATTGTTCAATAATTTCCACATTCTGTGGGATCACCTTTCTTTGTAATAGGTACAATTATGGATCTCTTCCAGTCAGTTGGCCAGGTAGCTGTCTTCCAAGTTTCTTGGCATAGATGAGTGAGTGCCTCCAGCAGGGCAACCATTTGTTGAAACATCTCAATGGGTATTCTGTCAATTCCTGGAGCCTTGCTCTTTGCCTATTCCTTCAGTGCTGCCTCAACTTTTTCCTTCAATACCACTGGTTCTTGATCATATGCCACCTCCTGAAACAGATGAATATTTCATCCATTCATTCATGAAACAACACACACTTTCAGACTGCAGAAGTTGGTAAAGATCTTCAATTGCCTCATCTTTGGCTTTGGTGGTTGGCACATAAATTTGAATAATAGTAATATTAACTGGTCTTCCTTGGAGGCATATAGATATTATCCTATCACTGACAGCAGTGTACTTTAGGATGGATCTTGAAACATTCTTTATGATGATGAATGCCACATCATTCCTCTTCAATTTGTCATTCCCTGCTTAGTAGATCATATGGTTGTCTGATTCAAAATGGCCAAGACCAGTCCATCTCAGCTCGCTACTGCCTAGGTTATCAATCTTTATGCATTCCATTTCATTTTTGACAACTTCTAATTTTCCTGGGAGCTCTGGTGGTGTAGTGCCTAAGGCATCTGACTGCTAACCAGAAAGCTGGTGATTCAAATCCACTAGCCACTCCTTGGAAAGAATATTGGGCAATCTATTTCCGTAGTGATACCACCTCAGAAACCAAAGGAGGGGTCCCTATGAGTTGGATGTGACTCAGCAACAGTGAGTTTTTTCCCCCAATTTTCCTAGATTCATACTTCGTAATTCCATGTTCTGATTCTTAATGGATATTTGCAGCTGGTTTTTCCCATTTTGCGTCATGCCACAGCAGCAAATGGGGGTCCCGAAAGCTTTACTCCATCCACATCAAGGTTGGCTTTACTCTGAGGAGGCAGCTCTTCCCCACTTGTATTCTGAGTGCCTTCCAACCTGAGGGGCTCATCTTCCAGCACTATGTTGGACAATGTTTCAGGGCTGTTCATGAAGTTTTCCAGTAATATGTCAGACAGTGTTTCAGTGCTATTCATAAGGTTTTCATTGGACAATTCTCTGAAAGTGGACGGCCTCTTCCTTTTTCCAAGTCTGTCTTAGTCTGGAAGCTCCACTAAAACATGTCCAATGTGGGTGACCCTGTTGGTATTTGAAATACTGGTGGCATAGCCTCCAGCCTTAGAGCAACACACAAGCCACCACAGCATGATAAACTGACAAACGAGTGGTGGCTAGGAAAATAAGCAGTCATCAAAAAATGAAATGGAACACATAAAGATCAATATCCTAGGCATTAGTGAACTGAAATGGACTGGTATTAGCCATTTTGAATCAGACAATCATCTAGTCTACTATGTCAGGAGCAAAAAATTGAAGGGGAACAGTGTCACATTCATCGTCAAAAAGAACATTTTGAGATCTATCCTGAAGTAAACGCTGACAGTGGTAGTATATACTCATGTGCCTACTCATGAGGAACCTGTACATAGACCAGGAGGCTGTCATTCGAACAAAACAAGAGGATACTGCATGGTTCAAAATCAAGAAGGGAGTGTGTCAAGGTTGCATTCTCTCACCATACTTATTCAATTTGTATGCTGAGCAAATAATCCAAGAAGCCGGATTATATGAAGAAGAACGTGGCATCAGGTTTGGAGAAAGACTCATTAACCTGTGATAGGCAGATGATACAACTTTGCTTGCTGAGAGTGAGGATGACTTGGAGCACTTAGTGATGAAGATTAAAGACTACAGGCTGCAGTATGGATTATACCTCAATATAAAGAAAACAAAAATCCTCACAACTGGTCCAATAAACAGGTTCACAGTAGATGGAGAAAAGACTGAAGTTATCAAGGATTTCATATTACTTAAGTTCTACAATCAACACCAATGAAAGCAGCAGTCAAGACATCATATGATATATTGCATTGGGCAAATCTGCTGTAAAAGACCTCTTTCAAGTGATGAAGAGCAAAGATTTCTCCTTAAAGACCAAGATGTGCCTAACCCAAGCCATAGGAGCTCTGGTAGCGTAATGCCTAAGGCACCTGACTGCTAACCAGAAGGCTGGCAGTTCAAACCCACCAGCCACTCCTCGGAAGGAAGATGGGGCAATCTACTTCCATAGTGATACCGCCTCA